GAAGAACTCTTCCTTGCTCCCACAGACTCTGTGCCCTTGGGCACCTTCCTTAACCTCAAAGAACCTTAACCTGCTTAGACCTCTTTTCTTCCTGAAACAACGCTCCTGAATCTTTAAAGTCTTTAAGCTCCCTGCATTTGCTGACATACTTGGATGACACCACAAATCCTATCACTTGAGGTGGTGATAAAAGTGAACCAGGACCCACACATTTTCTACATCTGATATTTAAACAGAAACTTGTTGACATGCACATTAAGGTATGTTTTTAAAGGTTTTTAAAAAGTGGTTCCAAAGACTTTGAAGTTTTTCTTAAAAAACAAAAAACAAAAAACAAACAAAAAAAACTCCTTTTCCCCCAATCCTGATTATAAAGCAGTGTTTTTTGGGTGGAAATTGAAAATACAAAAATTACACATGATCACAGTTATCATTGTCATTCACCACACACACACACACACAGATATATTTATATAAAAATTAGAATCAGGCTGCACATACAGGTGTATACACCTGTTTTTTTTATGCACTTAATATTTAAAATGAATATTTACCCTTACCATTAAATATTCTCTTTTGGCATATTTGTAATGTTTCTTGATGTCTAACATGTGGAGATATCACAATTTATTTTAAGCAATTTTCTGTTTCCTTACTGTTAAAAATAACATTGCACTGAGAAATTTTTTTCATATATCCTATGCACATCTCTAATTATTTCCTTCTTAGAATTGGAATTATGGGCAAAACTTCTTTTCTCTCCCTTTTGATCTAGAGCTTACATTATTGTTTAGACAAGTTTTCTTGATTCAGGAAACTGGAGGGACAGTGCCTTGGAAAGATACACTTTGCACTGGATTCACAAAGGCTGCAGAAGCTAGCTCTTTCACTGCAAAAGCAATCAATTATCATGAAAATACTTTTATTTAGGAAAGATATCTTAAATATGTGGCCAGCACCTAAAAGCATATGTTCAAAGTGCAGCAAACAAAAACTGCTGGATATTCAAGGGAACAAACTAGCAAGTGCACTCCTTAAGTCACACTCCATAGGAACACACGTGTGCTCCACAGGCTATGCACATGGAATCTCACCACAGCATAATAAGGTAACCCTGAATAACCAAAAACATCCCAAACATCCTCCAAGAAAGGAATGGCTAAATAAAATAAGGCACAGTCATACTACAGAATATTATGCAGCAGTTAAGAAGATGCACTCCATCTTCTGAAATAAAAATGGGTAGATATTCAAGATGTCTATGGGGGGGTATAGGTCAGTGGTAGAGTGCATGCTTAGCATGCATGAGGTCCAGGGTTCAATCCCCAGTACCTCCGTTAACAACAGCAACAATAAAACGATATGTTATTATGACAGTGAAAAAGGCAAGTTGCAATACAACCAAAAATTCATACATCTACTTTTAAAAAATACTCAAACAGTACAATTAAATTTTCAGTGATTACTGACATATATATAAAAGCATACAATAAAAGATAAGGAAATTCTGGAAAGAGAAATACCGACTCATAAAGTGCATCAATTTTGTACTCACAGATCTTTGAGGAAAACACAGAGAAAGCTGCTTCAGGGGTTGACTCAGAGGAGAGGAACCAGAGGTCTGTGGGTGGGGAGGCCCAGGTACAGACAGGAAAGAGGCTTGCTTTGCATTCTATACCCTTTGCACAGTGTGAATTTTTACTGTTTGCATGTATTACTTATCCTAAATGTACACGGACCTAAAATCCCTTTTTAAAGATCTACTTTTATTCTAGTATATGATACTGGAAAGGATCTAACCCAGGTCCAGCCTGTTTAGTACCATTAGGTCCAGCATCCTTAAATCTTTTAATCAGTTCTAACTACTATTAAAATATCATTTTACAGAATAAAATCAACCAAAGAATCAAATGAAAGCAGAATCTCCTTATTTTTCCCCTCTGCTATTATTTTTTCTAATGATAACAATGCTTGTTGTATTCATTTCAGAAAACCTAGAAAAGATACAAAGAAGAAAAATTACCTATAATTCTATCACCCAAATATAAATACTTAATAATATTTTACTGTCTTTCCTACCAAATATTTTACGTATGTATATGTTTCCTCATATTTGAACACATCACATTTCTGAGGTATAAGTGGATTTTTCCACTGATAATATTATAAGTACATCTTGATGTCTTTATTTTTCTTCTATAGCATGGATATTAAAATCTGTAAAGCATCTAATCATAAGAATGGACAATAATTTATCTAACCAGTCTCTGCTTACATTTAGCATGATCTTAACATGCAAATCTCCATGTATACCTCTGATTATTTTGCTACAATAATTTCCTAAAAATAGTATTCTTGAGACAAAAGGAACAAACCTTTTTAAGGCTTTTGTTACATATTCAATAGCATTTTCTGACGGCATTTGATAACATAAAATAATAAAATCCAAGGCCAGGATGACATGAATTTGGATATAACAATGATTAGTGCTTGGTTCCTGTCCCCTGTAGCCAGTTGATTTCACTCATTTCATTATCTTTGCAATAGCTTGACAATGCTTTCTAAGTGATTTTTGCATCATATTAAAATGGACACTTAGTAGAGAAAGTGCTGACAAGGCTTTTTTCCTGACCCAAGTTTTCTAGAACACACTATGGTATGATGTTTAGTCTTTGTTTGTTTAGAGCACACATCTCTCTGGTCCTAGTGCCTGGTAAGTACTGTCTAGATTTTACACCTGCACTAGATTTTACACCCTTATCGATGGGCTTCCTCTAGGTTCTGGCTCTACAGGTACAGGGACCAGGAGTCATTTTCTGTTTTTTGGGACCTGGGTTTACTGCATGAGCTTGCGGGCATGAAGCTAGAAACTATCAGAGTAATATTTTTGAAAGACTTCTCACTGTTGTATTTTCTTACCCTAAAAGAGTAAAAGTAACACTTGTTCCTTAGAGGAAGTGCAAAAGCTTTAAAAAGAAAAATAAAAATCACTTAGAAACTTGCCATTTAAAAGTAATTTGGGGGTCACATTTGGTGTTTTTTTCAAATTTTATTCACATATTCAGATATATATATACACACACATATATAATGTGTGTATATACATTTGTAGAATATAGAAACCTGAATATTTTGACATATAAGACATAGAAGGTGGAGCAAACAGATGGGGATGGGAATTGAAATGCCTCCAGTTATATAATATCTAGAAAATAAGTCCATATATATTATGTATCTTTAAAAAATTTCATATAAGCATATTTAATATTTTATAATAAATATATGCCCCCAAATATTTTTATATAAATAAATTTTCATATTATGATATATAAGTGTTTACAATATATAACCATATAAACATAAAAATATTTCTCTTGTCTCATTTTACTACAATTCTCTGAAAAAATTGCTATTATCATCCTCATCTTACAGGTGTCAAAAATTAGTTTGGAAATAAGCTAGTGAGAGAGTTGTCAGGCCCAGATATGATCATCTCATTCGAGGGTTTCAATGACAGAACATGCAAAGATGTAGACTTTATACTAATTGCAGTTGGAAGCCAGGGAAGGAATTTAATGAAGAAAGACACATAATCAAAATGTTTTTAAAGATTTTAAATTATTTAAAATTTTAAAAGACCAAAGAAACCCCCAAAACACAAAAACAGGAATTCTTAACAAATCCACAAAAGCAGAGAATCAGAACCTTACAAACCAAGCTGGTATGTGCTAGAGCCTGGATTTAGACCTCAGCCTCTCATTCCAGAGTCCTCAATTACCACTGCCTTTTATACCACAATTTAATTGCAAATAAATCTCACCTAATCATAAACAAGCCTTCTAACAATATTCTAGCAGCATCCTCCGTCCTTTGGTGATATGGTAAACTACTTCAAAGCTGAGGAAAATAAACCCAAATTTTGCATTAATCTTCCGAGGCAAAAATCTGCATCTCACTCAAAGTTCAAGAGTACTTGAGAGCCGCTTTCAGGCGCAAACCCGTAAGCAATAGTGTGGCCAATTCCCTTCTGTCCAGGATGGCCACCCCAAATTGGGGCTTCCCCCAGAACCTGCCAGATGTCCACCTTGTACACAAGCATTGTCCACTGCAGGGCCCCAGCCAGGGCTATCACACAGCTTAGTAAATGTCTCCAAATGGCAACAAAACTTACAACCAACCAAACTGAAGAAATATGTTAACTTAACCTAGAAATGCTTACCCCACAAGTGCAGGTCTCTGACTATCAGTCTATGCTTGCTATTATACTATTCCCTGTACTATTCTGTACCCTTTTAATTTCTCAAAAAAATACATGATTGAGTTATTAGGACTGTGTGCATGTGTCTGTATGTGTGTGTGTGTTTATGTTGGTGGGCCTGTATGTCGGCAGATGGGTAGCTCTACCAAGCAGCAATGTCAGTTTAGATTTAAATTTTGGTTTCTATTCTCTGACAAGTCTGGCCGGCATAAGGAAGAGGCCTCTGCACATATAACTGGACTTGGGAGTATTTCAGAAAACCGCCCAAGAATGCATCACCCGAAGCTGGAGAGGTCTGGAAATCTGGAATCTGTGGACCCTCACCCGGCCCCCAGAGGCACTGCTAACTCTCCCGGTTCCCCCATCTACTCTCAAAGGCAGGGATCACCCCGTGGGCCCCGAGGCCACCAGAACCACATCCTCAGCAGCTTAGAAAACTCTAGAACCAAAAACATTCCTCTCCAAAGGCCCATCCGATCTTACCGGAGGCAAATCCCGGGGCCCTCACAGTGGCTTCTTCACAGGCCGCCTCTCCCCTGACACAGCTAAGACAAGAACAAATGTCGAATGAAGAACCAACAGTGCAGCTCGCTTACTTCCTGTTTTCGAAACTCTTGAGTCACACAAGCCTGGTGAGGTAGGCCGGCCTCTACGCAGCACCTCGGTCATATTTCTGAGGGAGCCTATGGAAAATGAGACAGGTGCTGGGTGGGGCCCCAGGCCACCCGAGCTGGACCCTGGCTGTGTGACTCTGGACGGGTCATTTTCTCTTTGGGGCCTCCTTACACATTCCAACCTGGGAAAATCGAACTAAATGATAGCAAAGGACCCTTTCCTTCCATATTTCAGGAATTTACAGATTTTTCTGGGTTCGTTGTTGACTTTAACGTTTTATTCAGTAAATTTCATGGAACACTCCTGAGAGGTCTTGAGACCTAGAAACTAGAGGACCTTTGCCATGGCCCTCAGCCGGTCTGCTGACCCCCACAGAAACTCTCATGGTTCCCCCATCTACACTCAGATACATGGATCACCTCCACGGCCCTGAGGCCACCAGATCCCACCTTCAGCAGCCTAGAAAACTCTGGAATCACAGTCCTTCCTACCAAAAGGCCCAGCCAGACTTACCAAAGAGGCAAATCCTGGGGCCCTCACCATAGCCTGGGCCCTGGAAATATAACAGTGAACAGAACACACATTAGTCCTGCCTTTTTGCTCTCAGTTGGTTGAAATGTTTTCTGATGATAAAAGTAGAGGGGAAAAAGATCTAACACCTCTCTTCTTTGAAACTGCCTTTTTTCTTTCCCCAAAGAATACAAGCCTTTAGAGGGCAGAGACCCATCTCACAGCTGAGAGGATCAACGAGCTGTCTGAAAGTGCCTCTCCACCTGCAGAGGGCTAGGTAGCGGAGCCGCCGTCCTACCATGCCCTTTGCTTCCCTGGACTCTGCCCTGTGAAGTCTGAAAATCCTGTTTGTGGCTAAATCCTAGTCCAGGAGGTGGTCTCTGGCTCTTTTTTGAGGCCTCCTGAGCATCCACCCAGCATTTGCCCCACTGTTTTGTGACTAGTTCCTGTCCTAGGCTGTGAGCTTCATAGGGCGGAGACCGAATCTTTCATGCCCGTGTTCCCAGGACGTGCCGCAGGAGTAGCAGTAACTAGAACATACAAAGGTTTCCTGCAGATCAACAAGGAAAAGAAACCCTATAGAAGGACAATGGACACAAACGTGGGGTTCCCTGTCACGGATGCTCAGATGGCCAAAGCGTACAAATGAGGCTCAGACTCCTGAGTAAACTGGGAAATGCGAGAGAAAGCAACGAGCTACCCACTTTGTACCCATCGGACTGGCAAAGGTTTGCAAGCTGGATGAGGCTGAGGACTGGTGGGCAAGATCTTATATAGGATTGTGGAGACTGCCCATCATGGAATAATAAGTAGTGGTTTGAAAGTGGGACCCGGCAAAATACGTAAAACCTAAAGTGTAGAGTGCTTTCTTGAGAAAAAAAAAAAGTGAGAAACAGAATGAGCAAAACACAATATAAATTATACCAATACGTGATAATAATTGCTAACACTTACTGGCTACTTAGCAGTGTGGGTCACCGCTGTAAGTGACTGTTATTATCAACTTAAATCCTCACAGCCACCTCACGAGGGAGTATTACTCCCGTTCAATGTTGAGGAAACAGAAATTACTTCCTGGCTGCTGGTCACAAAGTTTAAAAAGTCACGTACACACGTGGAACAAGGATACATTTTGCAAAGATACAGATCGATTCACCCATGCATTTCAAAAGGTTTCAAGAGTTGTCTTTGGCAGCCAGAGAGGCGGGCAGGAAGCAGGGTGGGAGTTGGGAGATCAAAGAAAGTATCCAGAACAGGGAGGGGGGAAGGGGCCCTGGGCCTTGGAGACCAAGCCACAGGGAATCTGGACCAGACAGGGTGATTAACTCAACCCTCTGCCCCAGGGCCAAATGGAAAAGAAAACAAACGGAAGTAGGGAAATAATTCTTGTGGATCTCCAAAGTAATCCTGCAGGAGGGAGGCACTGTGTCTGTATCTGAGGCAGCAGAGGAACCGGAGATTCCTCAGAGCTAGAAATTAGAAAAGCCAGCGACTGTGGTTCAGAGAGAAACCCACTCGGGGATCTGGAGCCCCTGCAAGACCCCGAGGTGACTCCACTCGGCAGGTCTGGCAGATCCTGAGCTGCCCGTCTCTTGAGTCCCAGAAACGTGGTGTCCAGACGCCACCTCTGCACCAGGCACTCACCTGCTTCACCCTGTCCCGGCAACATCACAGTCACTAAGTTCCCGATGCCGCGTCCCCTAGTCTGTCTAACTTCACACGTACTGATCACTAAGGCTGGTTCACACAACCTGAGAAAAATCCCTGGAAACTCGGCAGGGAGGAAGGGGGTGGGGCTAGAAACGCCACCAGGAAGAAGTTTTCTTTTACTTTCGATCACTCCACCAGGCTCTTCTGCCTACCTCAGCGGACTCACTTCCTGGTTCTCTGCTCTCCACATTGAGAATTTACTAGCAAATTCAGCAAGGATTTTAAAAATCCCAATTTAAAGAAGGAGAACCTGTGAAAACATTGCCCTCCAGCGGAAGGGCAAAGTCTGGTCATTGGTAACAGAGAAAGAAAATTCCTGAACAGAGGTAACTAAAGAATAAACTTGATTCTGAGAACTAGAGACCAGAGATGACTCACTCCAATAGGAAATGTTTCTTATTTAAAGGAACCAGTGCCCAATTTCCACGTGCAAACCGGAAACCAGGAAGCTGTGCGTGCACTATTGGAAAGCATTTCTATTCACTACATTTAATATTAATAAGTCTGGTCACTTTAAAGAGAGGCTTGAGGCTGCCTGTGGCAAGGAAAATGCCATTCTCCCTTGAAAGGGGTCTGGGGAGAGGAATTGTCCCACTGTTCGGTGGCCCAAATCTCAGCACTGAAGCCATGGTCCAGCCCCCCAAATCATATGGCAAGAGCTCTTCTTGGGTGAAAGCAGGTCTCTAGATGAGATGTGAGGAGATATTGCACAAGAAGGCAGAGGAGGGGGTGGTGTCTGGTCTAGCCCTGGGCAGAGGTAACAACATCGTCGGCATCCTGGCCAGTGCTGAGCCCTTAGGATTAATAGTGGCTGCTGCCTATCCAGTGCCGAGCCTGGAGGGGTGGCACTGCTGAGATCTGTCCCCCAGGCCCCTGAGCCCCAGGCCTCCCCAGCTTTTCCTCATCCTCCATACCTACCCCGCTCTCTGCCTGTTTCCTGTTTTTTAAAGGGTTTTCCGCCTTTTTGTTTTCACATCGTGTACATTTTATAATCAAAACACCAACGATAATATAATACCTATACGTTGTGCCTTTGTGTGAGTTATGTCGACTGAAATAAATGTGCAGCCTAAAAGTTAAGAGTTATGTTTTATTTGGCAGGAGGACTTGAGCCAGGATGACAGCCTCTCAGATGGCTCTGAGGGACTGCTCCGAAGAGGTAGGGGAGGAGCTAAGCTATATAGGAGTTTTACAACAAAGACCAGGTAGTTGGAATATTAAAAGATTATTTGTTATCTAAAAGAAACCAGGCACCTCAAGTTAAAGAATTCAGTGCTTTTCTATGTATGGAAGGAAGCAAACATTTGGGCTCATTGAATTCATTCCTTTGACAAGCACCAAGCTATCTAGGGCCATTATTTTGTCCTTTATTATTCTGAGTCCACTCAGAGTGCACCATTGTGAGGGGCTGCAAAGGCTGGGCTGCAGGCCTGTCCTCACTGGGGGGTGGCGGCAGCCGCTGGTGACTTGGTTTCAGCATTCTTTGTTTACTGATATGGTTGCAGTATTTTTATTCACATTGCAGTATTTTGGTTCACAATTATCTCATTCTCACAACAGAGGATTGTTCTCCCATCTTATAGATGAGGAAGCTGAGGCTTCAATGAATACACAGATTCCAACTCAGTCCTGTTGGACCAAACACAAGGATTTTCCCACTGTAACACACTATCCCACCTTCCCTAACACTTAGGATTTGAAATGACCCACATGGATGTGGAAGAGCAGTAAATTTAAACTAAAACAGAGTGACCTATTCACAAAGGTCCAAAGGTCACCTAAGAAAAATGAGTTGGCCTAAGGGCACCTGCTGTTTAATAAACACTGTGTATGTGCCGGCACAGCCACGCAGACTGGCTCATTGCACCTCCTGAACAATTCTCAGAAGTGGATGCTCTTTTTGCTCCCATTTTATGAGTGAGGAAACAGGTTTGGAGAGGTGAAAGATTCGGCCATGTACATTCAGCGAGTGAGTGGCAGAAGGAGGCTTGTGTCTCTCTGAGACCCTGAGAAGTTAATCACTGTGTAAATGTGAATACACAGCCATGATTTTCAACTTGATTGATGTGAGGACTAACTGAGGAGAAGTTTTTGTTTGTTTGTTTGTTTGTTTTTTGCTTTTTTGGTTTTTTCTTAACTGAGGAGATTTTTTTTAAAAAACACTGATCCTCAGGCTGCAGCTTGGAAATTTCTACCTGAGCAGAATCACAGGAGATACAACAGACTGAACATTTAAAGTGGTGCCTGGGCCTTCAACAGTTCTGAGTAAATAGTCACGCCATGGTTACTTAAGTTCACAATGTCTGTAAGGTAGCTATGAATTACTAGACTTATTGTACAGATGGGGAAACTAAGTTCAGTGTCAATCAGCTGATAAACGGCACAGCCAGCACATGAACCCAGGAAAGTCTCACTTGAGAGTTTATGCTCATCACCACCCACCCTCCCCCCAAGCCTGGCCAGAGATGGAGGAGCCCAGGAGGCATCCAGGGGGGCCATAGTGAGGATGAGTGGGGGAGTCTCAGGGCATCCACTTGTGTCCTTTGTAATGTATTGATCCCAGGCTCTCCCAGTCTTAGGTCTTTTTAAAAAGAAAGACAAATAATTAACAAGTGAATTGTGAACCTCTAGTTGTTAAATTCTTCTTGTAATCTGCAAGGATCAATATTAATTCACTTGTTCTAATGAGTTTCTCACCTCCACCTTGAGATATATGTCCATGTGATTATTTACACAGAAATGAATAATGTACTTGGTCTTTAGTCCTAGAAAAGCTGGAAGATCTGGGGTGTTGCAGTTCAGCAGGACATGGTCAGCTGGTCCCTGCCCAGCGCAGGGTGAGGACAGCCTGGTTTGATTTAACTGCTGAGAGGTTTCCACCCTCCTGAATCTCAGCTCCCACGTGACGGCCTGCTCCAGAATTCACATCTATTAATCTGCTAAAAACAGATTTGGATCTGGAAGTCTCCCAAAGAAAGCCTGGAATGACTCAGCCTCCTTTCAGCTGGCTTACAGCACACCCATCCCACTGATCAGGACTTGAACCACAGGACATTAGTCAAGGGCAAATACTGACAGTGAAACAAAAATCCCCTGAATGTGCATGTTTTTTTGTGTGCGTTGCTTCTCTATTAAGTTGTGTGCAACTGACCCACAGGCCAGGTGGTCCAGTGTATGGATTCAGTTGGGGCCCTCCTCCTCCTTCAGCCTGGCCTTGGATCTGGCCCTAGACTCCCTCCAGGAAGTGGTGAGGGAAAGGAAAGTAGATTGCATTCCAATCCATTTATTTCATTCCCTTGGGGCTGTGCAGGGAGAGATCAGCTAGTTCTCTAAATGTTTTTAACAACTGGGATTTTAAGTCTTTTGATTTTTGTTTTTGTATAAAGATGACTAGAGAGCCACAGGCAGGTGGAGGAGTGTACAGCTCTGACCCCCACGTGTATATTCTGCAGTTTGCTGGATGCCAGTCCCTGGCCTCTGTACTTCAAAGACACTACAGCAGACAAGAACCCATTCCACTGATCTAGAAAGGAAGAAATTGAGGTTATTGTTGGGCTGTGATTCCAATATTCATGCCACAAACCTAGCTTTTTAAATATTTTCTTGAAGGTCTGAGCACAAAGTGAATATCCTCCAAGGTCTGGCTTCACTAAATGCCCAGATCCAAGAACCATTTCTTGGAAACCATTTCTTGGTATCTCAAACCTGAAGACAAATGTCAAAGGCCATTAAAAATATTTTTATGATAAAATATGTATAACATAAAATTTACCATTTTAACCATTTTAAAATGTACAGTTCAGTGGAGTTTTTGAGAGTACAGAATTGTACCCATTATAATCAAGCTCCTTGCCTCAGAGGTGAACCCCACAATATCAAGGCCTTGGCAAGCAGCTCTTCTAGGCAGGCTCTGATCAAGAGGTCTTGAGACAGGCAACCTTCTCATTTACCCATTTTGGCCCATGAGGAAATCCTAGTTGTACCTTGTTTCCAAACTGGCTTTCCTCTGCTAAGCAGTGGTGACATCAACAATTTTCTTACCTTCAGTATGTTATGATGGGTAGGAGTTTATACTGTCAAAAACTCCACTGTAACAGTGCCGTGGAAAGTTGGAATTCCCCATGCATCTGTGTGGATGTGTCAGGACTTGGATGCCTGCGTGACAGTGGGCACCGACTCTGTCTGTAGAGAGATCTACAGCTGAGCAGAAAGAACTTTTCTTCTTTATCTCCTCCCCTGTGCCACTCTGGGGGACCCAGAAGACATGGAGTGGGTAGAGAGAAGTGACAAAGGAAAAAATAAATGGTCCCCTCCTCAACTGATGGTTTCCTAGCTGAGGTTTATCCCTGAGCTGAAGGTAAGAGGATCCTTTGACTTCAGTCGATATGGAAACTTTAAAACATCTGAACAAAATGTTTAACAGGTGAAAATAAGTCACATTGTTTTATCCTTCCTATTACCAAAAAAGTCACAATCTGTGGGATCTGCCCAATGTCTAGTTACACCATCCCAGAAGACTTCTCATACCATCATTGAGAGTAGTGATGGAAAAGACAATAAAGGCACTTGTTATTGGTAGGCTGGTGAGTTCAGCCCAAATAATAAAATGAAATACTGGGAGCTTTTGGCATTATATTTTCTAAGCACATCTTTATCTACCACCTGGGTCTCCTTTAAAGAAATTGAATCAATAATTAATAATGTACTGAAAAAGAAAGCACGAAGCCCGGACAGGTCCACTGGCAAATTTTACCAAACATTCAAGGAAGAAACCAATTATACCAATTATTATGATCTCTTCTGGGTATAGAAGCAGAGAGGTTACCTCTTAACTCATTTTATGAGATCGGTATTACCCTAATAACAAAACCAGACAAAAACATTACAACAAAGTAAAACTACAGATCAATATCTCTCATGAACATAGATACAAAAACCCTGAACAAAATATTAGCAAATTGATCCAACAATGTATAAAAAATAAAACACCGTGACCAACTGAGATTTATTCCAGGTATGCAAAGCTTGTTCAATATTTGAAAATCAGTTAATGTAATCTATCATGTCAACAAAATGTCCAGAAATCATGCAATTATCTCAATAAATGAAGAAAAAGCATTCGATAAAATCCAGCACCCATACATGATTAAAATTCTTAGCATGCTAGGAATAGGGAGAACTTCCTCAACTTGATACAGAACATCTACTAAAACTCTACAGTTGACCTCATACTCAATTATGAGAAACTAGATGATGTTCCCTTTAGGTTCAGGAACAAGGCAAGGCTATTTCCTCTCATCATTCATTTTTGACATTGTACTGGAAGTCGTAGCT